TTGTCACTTAGTGTTAATACATACAGTTACTGCCAGTTTCTGAATTGAAAAAAGTACAAAAACTCAATAACTTAAGTTTTTTATGGTTCATGTGGAAAAAGGATATAAGGATATGGAAAAAGGATATAAGGCACAAACGTCCATTAGGTTTAATTATGCCTTTAAGCTCTAATGAATGTCAAATTTGTATTGGTAATGTCGCTTGAAACTAATGACAATTTCAATGGACGTTTGTGCAGCTGGATGTTAGTTTTATCAAGCTGCTATGAAATGATCATTAAAAAAAAATAGAAATGAAAACCTGTTTCAGTAACGTTTAAAATGGTTTAAGTATGGTTTGAGATTTGCTTAACTTTAAATTCTCAATTCTGAAACCGGATGTTAGCTAACTATATTTGACTCCCGAAATTCTCAAGGGAAGTGGAAACTCATATGGATGAAGTTGGGTTGGAACGTCGGATCTGGAAAATTATTTTTGTATGATTATAGTTAAGGCTGTAATCTTATTCCTGGAATGAAATGCAAGCAGGCTGTTAGTCTCTTATAAAATGGTTTCATTAGGCAGTTGTTAAATATAGCCGTGTAATGCAATTTCTTATCACAACTGCACAAATTAATGTTTGCTCTTTTTCTTTTTTAAGGTGCTGCTAAAGAAAGCAGCTTCAACTGCATGCAAATCAGTTACATGCGTGGGGAGGTCAAACAGCTTCGCAGTGAAATTTGTCGATTGAAGAGGAATGGAAAGTTCCAAATAAGACTCAACAATGGCAACAAATTACTGGAAAGTGTTGCATTTCGCCGAGTGGTAGAAAAGATGTCCAAACCGTCCCAGTTGTTACTCAATATGCAATTGCAGGGTAACAAAAAAGCTAAAGGTAGACGATTTACTCTCCAAGAGAAAGTTTTATCTTTATCTTTATATAAAAAAAGCCCTAAGTGCTACACACTTTTACAAAAATATTTTACCTTACCATCAGTCAAATGTATGAAACGGCTTTTAAGTAAAATAATAATAGGCCCAGGGATAAACCCTATTGTATTTGATAAAATAAAAAAAAATGTATCAGAAAAAACTACTTCACAGAAACTGTGTAGCTTAATATTCGACGAAATGTCAATAACACCAAATTTAAATTACAATTATAATAAAGACATAATTGAAGGATTTGCCACAAATAATTATAAAAAGTTTGCTGATCATGCCTTAGTATTCATGGTTAAAGGAATAACTCAAAACTTTAAGCAACCCATAGCATATTATTTCACGAATTCATTAAATAAATATGAATTAAAAAAATTGATACTAACAGTCATCCGCCACGCCCAAGACGCTGGTTTAATTATTATTAACACAGTGTGTGACCAAAGCAACGTAAATGTTAGTTGCATAAATGATTTAATACAAAAATCGAAAGCGGTACATTTGCGAAAAGGAATAGAGTGGCGGCATGACTGTTTTTTTGTCAATGGTCATAAAATCATTCCTTTATATGATACTCCACATTTAATGAAAGGATTAAGAAATAATCTTATTACAAAAGATTTAATTTATGTCACAAATAATGATAAAAAGACAGTAAAATGGGAATATTACCAAAAAGTGTATAGCGCAGACAAGTCATATGGAGAACTTAGGTTGCTTCATAAAATCACTGAAGAACACGTTATCCCAGAGAAAATAAATAAAATGAGGGTGAAAACTGCAACACAAATTTTCAGTCATAGTGTTGCAGTTGTCACTGAACACCTTACTGCTAGGGGAGATCTTCCAGAAGAATGTAGGCAACTTATAGATATCACATTATTATTAAATAATTTATTTGACTCCCTAAATGTAAGCAGTTTATATATAACAGATGGGAAAGTCTACAAGGGTCCAATAAAAAATAATTCACCGCATCATCAACTTTGGGCAGAAAGTAAAAAAATTTTAGGTACTGCTAAATTCATTGTTAAAAAGTTTAATGATAATAATAAAATTCTGCAACTTGAAAAAATAGTACCTTCAATAAAGAATTTAATTAAAACAATTGAAGGCGTGGAAGCAATTTGGCAAATAATCTCAAAAAAATACGGCTTAGATGCATTGCTGACAAGAAACTTAAATCAAGATCCAGTCGAAAATTTTTTCGGAAGCATAAGGAGTTGTGGTGTCAGAAACATTGCCCCCAATACCATTTCATTTGAAGGGGCATTTAAAGCTTTATTACTTAATAATTATAATACAAGTCATTCAATAAGGGCTAATTGTGAAAAGGATGAAAACGATTACCTACAAAATTTAGATTTCTTTATAAAAGAGCCATATGCAGAAACACATTTTCAGTCAGATCTGGCACCTAATTCACAATCCGAAATTATTTTTAATGAAGAGTTACTACAAGAGTATAATCCCATTGAAGATGCTGGACAAAGTAATTATGTATGCGGTTGGGTAATTACCAAATGTTTAAAAAAAATTTGTAAGTCGTGTCAGCAATGCAGACAGACATTGCTTCTTTCAGAGCCACCAAAAACATCTTATACAAGATCCAAAGAATATAAGGGAAAAAATTGGCTTATATATCCTTCAAAAGATGCTGAAAATTGTTTTAAAGAAATTCAGGGTATAACATTATCGTTTTTAAAAAAAAATGTCGTTATAAATAAAATAAGAAAAACGATAAGTGATTTCTGTAATTTATTAATTGCATGCCCTTTTAATTGTTCAGTACATAAAGAGGAATTAAAAAATTATTTTATCAATATTACAATAAAATTGTTGTTATATAGCTGGTGCAGAAATGTAAATAGGATTTTGTCTGGCAAAATTTCATACTGTGGTGAGGAAGAAATAAAAAAAAACGCATCTATATATTATAACAAACATAAAAAATACAGAAATAGAAAATAGCTGCAATGCAACTAGTCTTTTATAGAAATCAAAGATTAGGTAGCTACCAATTTCAAATCACTATCTGCTTGCAATTTGGCAAGACTTGTAGTTATAGTTTTTGTTGGCAAATTGTAGCACTTGTAGTTTTATATTATTTAAAATTAATTAAATTGTGGTACTTGTTTCACTATTTTCTCTATAATTTGTCCTACCAAATAATGCCATCAAAATTCTAAGACGCTATTCAACAGAGGCTTATCTACAAAGAGAAGAGCTAAAAATCATTAGATCCATCAAGATATTTTGTTTCCTGTGATTTAAAAAATATGTAAAGTAAAAATAAACTAATTTTTGAAAATAATGTCTTTGATTTCGCTTTTTTACAAATAAATAGTATGTACAGAAAACGATTGAGTTTTCATCTCAATTTTTGTTTGATTTGGACTGCACTTTATTGTTCTAATAAATAATTCAGATGTAAACTCTTTCGTTTTCTATACATACTATTTATTCTAAAGAAACCTTTAAAGTGACAGGTATATCTATGTATTATATCTATCTAGGTATACCTATATATTATAGCAAAGTTTTCGGGGACGAAATTCAGATGGCGCTTCAAAATGATTGGCACGGAAACCTACAAATAAATATACTTTCATTTCAAAAACTTTGGTGGTTGTTTCCAGTTGTAATAGCTGTGCTATGGACAATTAAAGAAAAAATGTTACAACCGTACCCAGCCTACCCTACTTGTTTAAATTACTGACAAAATATTATATGTATGCTTGTGTTTATTTTTGCTTACCAAATTTTAAAACAACATGCAATTAATTCTGTTTGAGTTGCTTTCTCATATCTTTTTCCTTTTACTTTTTATTTATTTCAAATGGTCTTTAAGAACATGAATCGGCACACACTTGTAACCACAGAACACGGAAAATGTTCTGTGCTTGTAACAGTGAGTCGTACCACACCGTTTATTTCGTCCTAGGTCTCAACATGCAAACTTTTCCTCTTTGATCTTCAAAATCATTATTTTTATTATTCAATTTCGTAATTTGAAATTTTGAGTAATCCAATACGCTCTTTATGATTATGAGTTAGTTAAAATTAATTGAATTAGAAACATTATATATATTGAATTTCCATCATTAGAAATCATTATAAAAAAAAAGTGTTAAATCAATATTAACTATTTCCGTTATGCCCACGAGTTTGTATTAAATCAAATATAATAAATTACTCATCAAACCCCAACACTTTAGTAGGTATATTATTCACTAGCTTTCCGCCAGCGGCTTCGCCCGCGTGATCCCTAGGGAACTGTTTATTTGGGTATCGATTCATAGCATGACACAGATATAATAACAAATTGAAAAGTAAACAATGATTGCTGTTATTATAGCATAGTTTTTCATACATATATTTTTGGTATCTTGAACCGTTTTCCTCAAAGATGAATAATTTCCTCGGTTTTTTCTACATTTTCCATTATTTATTCGCTCCTAATAGTTGCAGCGTGATGTTATATAGCCTAAAGCCTTCCTCGATAAATGGTCTATTCAACACAAAAAGATTTTTTCAATTCGAACCAGTAGTTCCTGAGATTAGCGCGTTCAAACAAACAAACTCTTCAGCATTATAATATTAGTATAGATTACGTGAATAGTATATAGAAAGAACGGGCTGCAAAAGATCTATGTATAGTTTTTTGGAATACACTATAAGTACAGAGTTCTAGCTGTGGCGTTTCCAGACTGACATCACCGCAGCAGCAGCGCCACAAAGACTCGTTTATCTCTTAAACTATGTAACTTGGCTATTTGAGTCCCAGCACTTGATTGTAAACAAATCGAAATTCATCGATAGTTATACCGATTGTATTTCCAAAACTTTGCTATTTGTTCCTATTTCATCGGTGACTTATAAAATTAGGGATTTTACGGTCAGTTGTACAAACGTTTATTAACGTTTAATGACGACTTTTAGCTCTAATGAATGTCAAAATTGTATAAGTCATGTAATTTCAAATTAATGAATTTTTTAATGGACGTTTGTGCAACGGGCTGTTAATGACTCAAGAATTCGTTTTAAATTCCTAGAGGGTGACTTTAAAATGAATACACAAAAATGTTACATCTCATAGTTTATTAATATTTTATTAGACCCTTTACCAAATTAATATAAGTAAATAAATAGAGCTACATACTTGGTAATATGTATCATTTCCTTGATTTTTCGTGCTAACAATTACTACAGTATGATATTTGTGTATGCGTTTTTGCATAAATATTATTTAGCTATACTCCTTGAACTGTGTTTGGTAATTTTAATTAATGGACATATTCAATTCCCAAAACATCTTCTAAAGACAATATATTACTCTTCTAAGGCACAATCTGCTATAATAAATCTGATATAGTAACTATCACTCACATTTTCAAAACTGGTTCCCCGTTTTGCACTTTATATTACTATAAAATGATATTATTCATTTTTAATAATGATAACATAATATATGTAACAGCAAAATATCAACGACATTTTCAACCCGCTTATACAAATAATTGCTTTCAACCACGTTAATTTACCTATCTTACACATTACATTGTAACAACTTAAAAATTTAAATGTTGGTAAGCTGTGATTTGGTATTAAAGTGAGGACTGCTACACTACAACGTATAGTTGAATAGTAAAAATGATTTCCCGATAAAGTCAGTTTGAGAAAATATATAAAACATTATACAGATTAAATGCGATATTATAAAAATATTTTAACAAAACTGTAAAATAATTTTGAAACTATATATCTATGAAATGATATATATCTTTGAAGGTATATTTTAATTATTCTGAAATACTGTTACTTCTACACATTGACAACGAAATTAATTAGTTATACACTGCGGCAAAATAACATACAAATACTTTAAAACTGTACTATAGTATACCACATGTAAATAAAATATATTTAATTTAAATTGCAACAATCAACAATATAATTCTGAATTAAAGATAAAATCAAGCCTGATTTTGACCTGGGATAATACGATAATTGACATATTTCACTCCAATTACTACATCAAGCTTGATTCTATCTATAGAAACGTTTTTATATAATATAAATAAATAGTTACATTTTAAACATTTGTGATTTTGTAACCACTTTATACTTAAGATCTGAAATTAATTATATCTAAAATCTATAAAATATATTACTCTATTAAATATTAAAGGCAATTTATCATTAGATATGGACGGATTAAGTCAAGGCGCCCAATGGGGTTACCAATTAGTTATTATTTTAATAGCTCTTAATATTATCCTATCTTATTATAGTTGCGGCGGATGCGGTAGAAATATTATAAATATATATATTATATTAAGTATCCGAGTTATACATAACCAACAATGAAACAGCATATAAGAATCTCTTTAAATAAATAATGTGTTGCATGTTTCAGGTAACTCACTAGGTCCATGTAACAAACGGACGGTCTACCACATGCCGCACTTTCTATTATATCTAATACCAATGACATAATAACAAAACAAAACATAACTTCGTTGGTAAACAATTTCAGTTCCATCTAAGTCAATTTCGTAAACTTAACAGGCAAGACCACAACCGATATTAAGTACTTATCACCTAAAGGAATGTAAATCTCAAGGTACGTACCTACAATGTTATAAAGAAAAATGGAACGGATTAACCAATTTGATAAAAGGTACAAGGAATGTTAATGACTATATTAAATTTAATGATAAAATAATTCTAGGCTTTAACATTAATTTTCATAGATTGCCCGCGCCAGTTCGCTAGTTCGTGCAACTACGATATGTAATTTTGTACATCATTGGATATAGAAATATATAACGTCTTAGAGATTGGATTCCAGATAATTTACCCATGTCTTGTTTTATCGTCAAGAAATTATACAAGGTGGGGTCATCTTTCTGAATGTCAGAAAATAAAAATTTTAATGTATAATTTATATACTGTGTCTTCGAAACTCGTTTCTTTTTTCATGATCTCCAAGTAATACGAAACCCCAACAATTTGCTAAACAATTTAAGAAGCTATAAAAAATAATAAGTTTAGTCAAAATAGTTTGTAGTTTTAGTTATTCTGCTCTAACTAAAAACTGGATCTTTATCCCTTATATATCTTTTTTTTTTGTTTGTTATAAGCTATACATCTCAGCGTAGACCCAAACTTCTCATGTTGATTTATTTTTCTAGGAATACCACATATTATCTTTGACCACCCTTTGTATAGTTATTTCGACAAATTTAATGTAAAACACATAAGTAAATTATCAAAAATCCGTCTCCCGAATACACTGTATAAGTAAATCGTTCACCACATGGTTGAGCACTCATATATTAATTGGTATAATGTATGTAAATCAAATGGATTTTATAAGAGATCTAGATTACATACTTATTTATACTAAGTGCAGACATAAAACGTCATTTGCCAATTGTAGACAGTGAACTTGATTATTAAATTATGCAATAAATATTCACGTATTTACAGGCACCAATTTAAGCACAAGCAACTTTCTGTATAGAAGTATATACCTCTATTAATATAGTATGGGAAATAAATATTATTTATGCTTTTGTGCGAGTAGAACACAACTCCCATACTTGAGCCATATATATTGAGCAAGTACATTATATTTCAACTAACAAATTTCAATGGCAGCTATGTAAGATTTGATTTCCGCTAGGCAGCGCTAGTGTGATTGGAGGTCAATCGTGAAACAAAATGGCGACATTGAGAAGAATGGCCAAAGAAATAGATTTGATAGATAAGTAAAATTATTAGATTTGATCAATTTTGCATTCACAATGATATCTTGGAAAATATTCTTAAAGAAAAATGCTTAAAAGTTCCAGCCCCAGGTACTCTGAGATGGGAATCGAACCCACGACCTTTCGAAATCCGGGCGACTGCTCTAACCACTGAGCTACTCAAGACTAGGACCCCTAACAGGACTGACGAATTTTTCAAACACTCAATTATTTTCGCTACAGATGAGCGTACATTTTAAGCATTTTTCATCAAGAATAGATAAGTAAGATATTTATTACCTTAGACGTTAGCACATATTTATCTAAGTGCCAATACATAATTGACTTTATATCAAATAATTGAAACAAAGAAACTAACTACGATAACTGATATGACTGCCATCTTAACTAGCGCCATCTAATTTTAGTTTTTCTGATTAGTTGCCATTGAAGCAAAATATGACCATGACTCTTTCAATCTTGAAACAGAAAGTGCTAAATATATTTTTATACATTTTAAGTACACGTTGGATTAAAATAAAATATCTAAAAAATAATAATTCAAGAATAAAATAGAAACAATAACACATTTTAAAATTGTACATTAAGTATTAGTCGTGGACTTGCATCACATGCACTTTTAAACAAAAAATAAATATAATGGAATGTAGAATTTTTAATTCCTGTCTGTACAAGATCACATCAATAATAAACAATCACGGAAATATAGGCTATGCCTTTTATAACATTTTTTCAACAGTGAAGTGTAAAAATATATTAATTTGTACAATCTAAACATTTGTAAAATTCACTATCGCACCAAAAATACTCTAAAATTTAGTTTTTCATCACGGCGAATATACAGTTAAGTATTGTATTAAGAAAAAATAAAAACAAAATCATGTTATTTAAAGTAGGTAGGTACAGTCATTTCCCCTCCAAATGCTAAAGTCAAATCTCACATTTATGTGGAATGCAAACGTCGTAATTTGGAATGTTTCGTTTCAACGATTACGTTTCGAACACTTAGCACGCAACTATAAGAATTACTCCTTCGAGAATGCGTGTAAACATAATAGCAATAATCCAAACAAATTCCTTCAACTAATTAATTTTATGGACATACCCACAATTCAAATTGAGGACCAAAAATGCCAATTTTTCATCATAATAACATTTAAATTATCATAATTTTTCATTTAAGTACTAAAATATCCGTATAAATATCGTCCGCTCATTTAACTATATAAAAAAAAATTACCACTAAATAAACCTTGACGTAATTTGCACTTTTAAAAAATAAATAGCTTCGGGGGGACGTTCAGTGTAGAGCATATTCGAAGCACTTCAACCCAACAGTGCCTTTCGCAGACAGACGTTTAAAGTTAAGTAAATTAAATAGATCACTACATAAACATTATGTATTAAAAGTGGGAAATATAAAGGTGAAGAATATTTGAAGTGCTCACGGACTATGCACACATTATATAAGTGCATTTATCAAACACAAAATCAGTGATTGTCGAACGGCCCCCCAGCAAACAGTCATTGGTGGCTCTTACTGAGTAGATGCGAGTTAAACTCGTAGACGTTACAACATTGCTCGCCGCAGATGTTGCACTTCCATGGGTTTGAGTCGCAGTGGCAACCTTTGTGTAAGAAATACAGCGTTGAATCGGGAAATGTTATAGAGCAAAAAGTACATACGAGCGACGAAGGTAGAAGCGTTGTGTCGCCGTGGGTCGACGTGATAACACCGCCCTCTGATGGAGAAGCTCTGGATGCCTTAAACAATATATTAGAAGTTAGACTACGGACATATGTTCGTTTAATACATTTAAATTTTCAAGTATAATTTCTTCTAACAATTTAAATATAAGTATCACATGTATAACATACAACAAGGTATTGGTATGTATATACATTAGTATTGATATTATAATAATAATTACTGTAGAACTAAGTTATTTAGCAACTTCTACACACAAAGTTAGTACAAAATATACATTTATAGCGTAAGTTTTTAATCAATTGTTAATAGAACATTAAAAAATGCAATTTTATAATATATTTTAATATTTGATAAACAAACTATACTAAGTATAAGTTACTATGTTAACCGCCAGGTACAATAGAATAATCAAAATCACAGTAAGTTCTAACTAATACAGCGTAAGGTGAATATCCGGTTGCGCAGAGCACTATGAAAGAACGTACAAATAAAATTTATAGTAAATCATGTTTCAATAACCATAAGGTGTAAAATACGGTATCCATCTCAATCACACTAAGCGGGGCCACGCTCGAATATATTGGTGGATCGCTCGATGGCGCGATTCTTGAATCATTATGATTGGTTGACATTTGAAAGGTTATAAATTTAGCCTTTTGCGCAGGTACTTCGGTGAGACGCATCATTGTACACTACTGTAGCAAGGTGTTTATAGATGCCTTTTTCTGCTTATTATTCACAGTAACAAATAAAATATTAAAATTTGTGCACTAATTTCAATTCTTTCCTATTTGAACATGCGTAAGTGGCGACAAATGGCGTACAATTAAATTTGAGGGCAGGTGTTTTAGTCGTCTTGCATGTACTAACTCTGTGTGCATGAGTTGCTATCTTAGTTTTAGAATAAATGCAATGGACTCCCATAAGGTAACGCCTAATTATAAGAGGTAAGATCAGAACAGTTTATAAATCGAACCCGATATTTCACTAAATGCTTGTACATTCAACAGCACTTCAGATTCTACAAATCTGTCAAAGAATCATATCCAATTTTGTGACCTACAAATTAAAGAACGCGTCTAGTGATGTGACTTAACTTAAAATGTAACTTATTTTATATCAGGAAATCAAAACGTAAAATTAATTCGGAATATAAATTGCGAGGCTTACAATTATGTTTACATAGTATTATGATAACTACCCGAATACGATTCAGTCGCAATGAATTTTTATAGTAGCTTCATAATTATTTCGAGTTTCGACAAATGTTATAACCTCAAAATATTATTTACATATTCTATTCTATTTTAAGCAAAAAAATTATCACTAATGGTGGGTAGACCTTTATAAAAAAACATGTGACAGGTCAATCAATATATGGAAAGTGGACATGATTCTTTCACCAGTTGATTTGAAACTTAAAATGTTTTGATGGTAGAGTTTAAAATCAACTGCGGCCATTAACTTGACGTGCAGCCGAGAGTACGTAATCGTAAACTTGACACTGCATACGCACATTAGAGCCACGGGCACGACCGCGTGCCGATATGCGTCTGCGCAGGTCTTCACGAAGCAAGCTCTTGAGCGGCGATACCTTTATCAAGGAAGAGGACACGCCACGTTTATCGCCGTTCGATTCTCCATCGCGCGTTTCACTAGTACCAGAATCGTCTTGCGCATTTGGTTCCTGAAAGCGCATTTAATGTTTCTATAAATTTCACTTCAGGTACAATAGGGTATTCTACTCTGTTTGAAATAATACTTGTATCAAATATTTCGGAAAATAAACACGTTATTGCCTTAAATTTAAATCAATATTTAAACTTTTTTTATATCCGTGAAAATGCTGTCCGTCTTATTCATGACGTCATTGTGATATGTACACAAAACAGATGCATAGAGTAGAAGATAAAAAGATGTCAATAAAACAAGAACAATGATGGCAAACAAGCACAATGATGGTATTGTTCTTGTAAAAATAAAAATATATAAATATGCTAAGAAAAGCGCCATCTAGGAATTTGATCTGTCGCCAGTGACGTCACACATTGGCGGGTCGTATTTCAAGTCACGTGACACAATAAATCACGACGTTTCATTTTAAGCTATTAAGATAATCGTGCGATTTAAAGAATCAAAATCTCTATGTTTATTAATGATGTTAATTTTCTTTTTTGTGCAATTTCATGACTTAGTTATCACTACCGAAACTCGTGGCGTTTAAATAATTTTGAGTTGTTTGTTTACATTTATTGAATTCGAGATGCGCGTAAGAGCAGTTATTTGTTCAAAGCATTATACAAAATATTAATACGTTTTCTGCATTAGGTACCATTTTAAGAAACCTTTATACTTAATAATCTTTGAAATTGATAGAACTAGGCAGGCACTTAACTGGAAGTTTCATTATCAAAATTACTTTGACTGTTTATCAAATGAAGCTGTGCTTTAATATGTTGATATACACTGCCCATCGATACGGTGGTCATTTTACACTTTGTAATACTCACACCATTCTGATATATTTACAGGCTGGCGCTTTAATAAATCCAATCATCCCAATTGCTAAAAAATATAGGTGTCATTCTTATCAACCGACCTCTTTGTTTTTATGAATGTAAAAATGAAAATTTAGACGATAAAAATATAGACTGTCAATACGATGCTGTCAGATTACTAAAACGTGTTTTATTTATTAAAATATTATTAAAATATTATTAAATGGAAAATGTTATATACTTTTCCATATTGGTGACCCCAGATTGTTTAATATAAAGATACCGTTAAGTTACAACCATACAACTTATTGGCGTGCTTCGAAGTATCTAAAACAAGACATACTACATTTCAAATGGGTGCGAGAATTAATAAGAAGTCCATTTCCACGTTCATTGATGATCGTCGTTGCTAAAGTTAATGCTGTTTCTGTGTCTACAACATTTTAAACTGAAGACCAACAAAGAGACGTCATTATAGTTATCGCATTCTGAAGTCAGAAGAGATACAACAAGTCAACAACAACAGATAAAACTACGTGTCCTTTGTATTTATGTATAACAATAGTAATATATATATATTTTATATATAGAAGTTAACGACACTATATTACCGCCACTCTACCTAATTTTCATGTAAGTTAGTATTTTTATTTTTATTTTACTATTAATGTTTATTTTATTTTTTAAGTGAACGAACATGACAGAGCGTAAAGAAGTAGAGTTGACAGAATTGCAACGGCTGGTGGAAGTATTGCAATCTCAAGTGCAAACTATATTAAGTGAGAATGTTTCTCTTAAGGGCAGGCTTAACAACGACTCTATTGTCCAATCTTTACCCTCCACATCTGCTGTTCTCGAGAGCAATATATATAAGGTGTCAGCTAAATTGCCTCCTTTTTGGGCAGATAAACCTACTGTATGGTTTGCTCAGGTAGAGGCACAGTTTACTATATCAGGGATTACTGAACAAAATACAAAATATAGTTATGTAGTTGCGCAACTCGATTCTCGTATAGCAGCTGAAGTGGAGGATATAATTACGAATCCACCTTTAGAACAACGGTTTGACATATTAAAAAAGGAACTTATTCGACGCTTGAGTTGCTCTGATGAACAACGTTTCCATCAGTTATTAAGCGAGTCAGAATTGGGTGATAAAAAACCATCGCAATTTTTACGATATTTAAAATCACTAGCGGGTACATCTTTTAACGATGAAAGGATTTTGCGTCATTTATTTTTGCGTGCTCTTCCACAAAGCATTCAGGCAATTTTAACAACTCAACCTGATTTATCACTCAATAATATTGCCGAATTAGCTGATCGTATAATGGATGTCTCCGATTCCGCACCATCGGTTTACGCAACGTCAGGATTGTCAATTTCTAATACAATATCTAATTTAGCAAAAAGAGTTGATCAAATTGCTGATCAGGTAGATACTTTAATGAATGTTCGTGGTCAGCGCAATCAGTCACAATCACAAATTTTGCACGTTTGCTGGTATCACAAAATTTTTAAAGACAAGGCTTTAAAATGTGTTAGTCCTTGCTCGTGGACTCAGAAAAACATGACAAACAATCAGTAGCGGCGGCAGCTGATTGTTTTACTTCATCTCGCCGCCTTTTTATTAACGACCGTAATTCTAACGTTCGTTTTTTAGTTGATACTGGTTCGGATATATGTTGTTATCCTAGAAAACTATTGAAGAGCAGATGTTTACCGACTAACTATGAATTAAATGCAGCAAACGGTAGTATTATTAAAACTTTTGGTACAATTAATTTAAAGTTAGATCTCGGTCTAAAGCGCGATTTCCATTGGCGTTTCGTCGTTGCGGATGTCAGTACTGCAATAATTGGATCTGATTTTCTTGCTTACTATCATTTACTTCCAGACTGTAGAAATAAAAAAATATTGGATGGCAAGACCGGACTCTCTGCAACTGTCTTTATTGCTTCATGTTCGCAGTCTAGTGTAAAAGCTATCACTGTTTTACCTGATTCACCGTATCAACGACTTTTACTGGATTTTCCTTCTATTATACGACCTCCTGGTTTTCCACGGGAAATAAAGCATAACACTATGCATTATATAAAAACAACTGACGGACCACCCGTTTCTTGTCGCCCTCGCCGTCTTGCCCCTCAAAAACTTATGATTGCAAAAAAGGAGTTCGAAGATATGGTAAGATGTGGAACAGCCAGACCTTCTAAAAGTCCTTGGTCTTCGCCTTTACACTTGGCACCTAAAAAAGATTTGTCCTGGCGTCCGTGTGGTGACTATCGTGCTTTGAATGCTCGAACTGTACCAGACCGCTATCCCGTTCGTCATATAGGGGATTTTGCTCATAATCTTGCTGGTTGCACTATATTTTCAACATTGGATTTGGTAAAAGCTTACCAACAAATTCCTACTTTTGAAGATGATATTTGCAAGACTGCAATTACTACTCCATTTGGTCTCTTCGAATTTCCCTTTATGACGTTCGGTCTACGTAACGCTGGTCAAACATTTCAAAGATTTATAGATGAAGTCACATTCGGCCTAGATTTTTGTTTTCCATATGTCGATGACATTTTGGTGTATTCCCAAAGTCAGGAACAGCACCTTCAGCATCTTCGTATTCTTTTTCAAAGACTGGATCAATATGGAGTTGTAATTAATCCAATAAAGTGTGTTTTTGGGGTTGACGAGGTAACGTTTCTTGGTTACCGTATATCTAGACAAGGAACTCGTCCTCCTCCAGAACGTATCACTGTTCTTCAAGAATATCCTTTACCTAAAACAGCCCAAGGTGTTAGACGGTTCTTAGGAATGTTAAATTTTTATCGTCGGTTTCTACCCCATGCAGCTAAAACCCAAGCTCCATTAATAAAGGCCTTGACTGATACAAAACTTACCGGTAACAAACCTATGCCCTGGACACCTGAGTTAGAGCGTGTTTTTGTAGAATGTAAAGAAAGTCTTTCACAAGCAACACTTTTAATGCATCCAATTCCCAACAAATCTCTAGGTCTGTTTACGGATGCATCGAGTTCTCATGTAGGAGCATGCCTACAACAGTTGGTTTCAAATGGTTGGCAACCTTTGGCGTTTTTTAGCAAGAAGTTAACACCTCGCCAATCTGGTTGGCCTGCGTATTACAGGGAGCTTTTAGCTGTTTATGAGGCAATTCAGCACTTCCGTCATATATTAGAGGCACAACATGTTACTATTTATACAGATCATAAGCCATTGATCTATGCTTTTTCCCAAAGACGTGAGAAATTACCACCTATTCAACTTAATCAGCTGTCTTTCATTTCCCAATTTACAACAGATGTTGTTTATATAAAGGGAGCTGAAAACATTGTGGCAGATACTATGTCTCGAGTTGAAGCTATTTCTTTAGAAGACGATTTTATTGCTTTAGCACAGGCACAATTACAGGACGATGAGCTTCAAGATTTCTTGGCCAATCCGAAAAAGACTGGTTTGAAACTTGAGAAAGTCACCGTACCCGGTTCGAATGTTGTTCTATTGTGCGACACTTCTACTAATAAAGCGCGTCCATATGTTACATCTGAATTTCGCAGAAAGATTTTTGACGACCTTCATAATCTTAGCCACCCCGGTAGTCGAGTTACAGCTCGTCTTGTAGCTGACCGATTTGTGTGGCCTGGTGTTAATAAAGACTGTAAGCTTTGGGCTCGATCTTGTATTCGTTGTCAACGCAGCAAAGTTACTAGACATAATGCTACACCAATTGGTATTTTTTCTAGCCCTTCGGCTAGGTTTAAACACATTCATTTAGATATTATAGGTCCACTTCCAATAGTCGGTCATTACCAGTATTGCCTCACTGCAGTCGATCGTTTCACGCGATGGGCAGAAGTGTGGCCCATGTCTGGTATAAGTGCTTTAGAAGTTGCAGAAACTTTTGTATTTGGCTGGATTTCTCGATTTGGTGTACCCTCGATTATAACAACAGACCAAGGCCGCCAATTCGAGTCCGATTTGTTTCATCGACTTCTAGTGTTCTGCGGTTCCAAACGCATTAGAACTACCAGCTATCATCCTTCTGCCAACGGAATGATTGAGAGAGTTCACCGACAACTTAAGGCTGCTTTGATGTGTCATAGTGATTCATGGCTTAGAGCTCTCCCGTTGGTATTGCTTGGTATGCGGACATCTCTCAAGGAAGATTTGAAAATGTCTTCCGCAGAGCTTCTCTACGGTGAACCTCTTCGATTGCCTGGAGAATTTTGGTCGGGTTCATTTGATACTAACGTTGATTTGACTGATTTTGTGGTTCAGCTACGAAATAAAATTATCAAACTTCGTCCTATTCCAGCATCTCGTCATGTTACACAAGTTCCATTTATTTTCAAAGATCTAAAAAACGCTACTCACGTGTTTTTGCGTGATGATACTATTCGACGCTCACTGGTACCACCTTATACTGGACCTTACCGCATCATCGCTCTTAAAGAAAAAACTGCGTCACTTGATGTAAATGGTAAACAAATTGAGGTATCATTGGATCGTGTTAAGCCTGCTCATTTGGAAAGTTTTCCTTGCACTGAAACACATGCTCCACTTGCTCTTGCGGATCCTTCAAAGGCAAATAAGAATCTACCTTCTGACTCAACCTCAGGTTATGTAACAAGATACGGTAGACGTGTTCGTTTTCTTAATTCTTAGAATAATATTTTATTTTATTTTTGTTTGGTTTCCTTTTCTCCGTAGGGGGGTAATGTGGCGGTTGTATAATGTCATTCTTATCAACCGACCTCTTTGTTTTTATGAATGTAAAAATGAAAATTTAGACGATAAAAATATAGACTGTCAATACGATGCTGTCAGATTACTAAAACGTGTTTTATTTATTAAAATATTATTAAAATATTATTAAATGGAAAATATAGGTATCTACCTTAAAGGTGCAATTTGATAAAACTGTAGTACTAAATACTACATTTGAGATACCTTCATTTATTGGCAATAGGGATGATTTGATTTATAAAATCACATTCACTATTTAATTTATACAGGAAAAAAAAATTAATCAGTGCACAATCTTTAATATTGTGTTATTTTAATTAAAGGCGATTTTCAATTTATTTACCTAATTAACATTGAAGATAATGAAGAATGAAGGTGTATAAAAATGTTTTTACTTATTTTATTACCTACTGTAGCAGGGTTAACGACAGATATATACCTAGTTTGTATAAATAAAATTAATATATAAATGACAAATAAAAACAACACTAGTTTTTGGTGAATATTACTAAATATGTTACTAACGATGCTAAACAGTGGGAAAAATGTGCACTAATTAAAAATTACCTTGTATATTTACTTGGGTATTAATAAGATAATTCCCTTCACATATTGCGAATATTCCGTACAATTACCCTTATTCTCATATACATTTAAGTTGAAGAGTCATTGTGTGGTTAGTTAATAATAATGTACTGCGCGGATTAAAGCATTAGTTTTATTAATAATTAATTAGATACTCGGATAATACGCTTATTTATAATAACTGTTTATAATAACGGCCATGGTTACAAAGTTATTCACATACATCTATTTTCACTATAAGTAACGCTTATATTATGTTATGATTTAGGCACCCTGTCAGTGAAAAGTCGTTATAACATTAATATGACATATGAAAGATATAATTTTTTTAAGAATACATAATTTGTTTTGTTTTTTTGATAGATCAAATCACATCTTTAGATTAGTAAGGGCAATGAAGATTTAAAAAAAGCATTAGTTCCCGAAATCAAATAAAATGTCGCTACGGTACTTTCTTGATTTCTCCATGACAACCTTTCCGGTTTTCTTTCATGTATAAAAGTAAATTAATTTTCGTAACTCATATTCTACTTGTACTTTTTCGTATTTGCAATGTTTTATCGTAGCACCACCAGTTAACTCAATTATTAATACCAACAAATTCTGTTGTTAGTTTAAAGCCATCCCACGTAACTATTAAGCGGGACATAGATATTTTAATTTGAAGCCCATACATAAACAGGGTTCTTTTTCTCTGCTTCGATTTACGATGTACAGTTATTATATTAATTTACCAAAATAAAAGTGGAAATACATGTAAATGTCGTGTTTTGTCGCGTCACGACCAAACTATATCCGTTTCAATCTAATATATTAAACAGCACAGTATTGAAGATACATAGTATTTCCACCTTTAACAAAATCATAGTGGATTGTGGTAATTTGTATTTAAAACTATTTGTACCTGTTTTATTGGTATTAAGGTTATCGAAGGCGTAATGTTGGTAGGTAGTCCTGCAGATAGGGAGCTACTCGCAATAGCGCTGTCACCAGATTGTGGGGAGCTAGGCCCCTCACCGTTCATACGCGAATCTGTCAAGATATAAATCATTGTATAAAAGTATTAAGTACAAATGAGACAGACAAAATTACTATACTGACAACGTACGTATATTTTAAAAAAATTTAAACATTGATCTATGATTTCGGCTTATGAATTAATTTGTCTATTAATTCAAATGTTCCAATGAGGTTGCCACATTTTAAAATACTGTCGTCATCTACTGATGGTTTAGAAAACGAAGTAATTAATGTTATAGCATAAAATACTGGATAGAAAATCAAAACTAAGCCATAAAAGTTATGATAAAAGCTTTATAGAGGTAGAAGGCAATGGAGGTATATATCGTTGAAGCTTGTAACGCTATTGGTTTTATAGATCTTATTTCTTATTAATGATGCCTATTATTTTATACCTGTATGATTTTTCTGGCCGGGAGAAAAAGTTTCATTGTTGTCAGCCATCGATATCTCGACATGTGGGGTTAAGTAGTGCATTGGTGGAGTGGCATTATCCACTGATCGTGCTCCGTTACTTTCACCACTATCAGAATACGCTGCTGCAACTGATACGGAGAGACCTGAACCTAATGCACCGAGTGCATTTATAGCAGCGGGATCCATTGTGCCGTCAGCGTATGCGGCATTTGCAATGCCAGCGGCGAGTAGAGATACTGAGTTGTTGCCTGGGCCTGGGTTGTCTAGATCGATCCCGTGCCTGAAAAAAGTGAATTGAAGTTAACTTAACATCTGTATAAAAGTAAAAATGTTATGCTAGTTTGATTGAAAATAAAATTACCTGTTAAAGAAATGAACTCTCAAACTCTTCATGGTGGGAGCGCGATAGCTACAAAGTGGGCAAGTTTTGACAAGATCATGTTGTCCGACATGTTCATTTTGGAAATGTGCGCGCATGGCAATTTGGCGCTGGAACCCTCTGTTGCATATCGGACAATGGTAAGGCAAGCTTTTCGTGTGTGTCGTGAAGTGTTCGGCCAGATGGTCCTTTCGGAAAAATCTTTTCTGGCAAACGCGGCATTCATAAGGTTTGACACCAGTGTGACGCATTTTATGACGGCGCATGTTCGCACCGTTTGAAAATTTCATATTGCAGACGTCACATTCGAATAGTTTCCTGTGAGGGCGTGCATCTGCCGGCTGTGCTGCCGCCACATTGTTGTTGTCTGGAGAGCACTGCGCCATGTGTGTGGTTAGGGCTCTGCTGCTTAAAGTACTAAAGCTGTTACATGTGGTACATTTTAATAATGTACCACCTCTTTTTGGAATATCCTTCCCACTAGCTGTAGCTACCTATGAACAATAATACAAGTACATTATTGGAAAAAAATCCTACAAGAGTTATCAATTTTATGAAGTAAATAAAACAAATCACTTGGTTACATACAGCTATATAATAGAAATAGATAATGAATAAATGGGAACAATGAGGCAATATATCCTGATCTGCAAATTAATTGACTAGCAAAGGTTATAAATAAAATTATATTTACTATTTGTGCATAATGTTATTATTAAAATTACATTAAAACATAATTAGACCAAATGAAAAAAAAATGCCATTGAGTATAACGAATTCATGAAGCAATATTAAATTTGACAATATTGTTTACTTTTAAATAAGTACATTTAATAAATTGGACGATTTGACAAGTTGAAGCTATTCCTTTAACCGATATCACGGCAGAATCTGTGTCGAACGCATTTTTATTTGGATGGGAAGCACGATTTGGATGTCCTACTGATGTTGTCACCGACAGAGGTAGGCAATTTGAGAGTGCAACGTTTCAGCAACTAGCAAAATTAATGGGCTTCAAACACAGGAAAACAACTGCTTACCACCCTCAATGCAATGGCCTCATCGAAAAGTTTCATAGGCAATTAAAAGTAGCCATTATATGTCACGCAGACGTTAATTGGTCCGAATCTTTACCACTAGTACTTCTCGGCATCCGAAGTTCATTCAAAAAAGATCTTCAAACATCGTCAGCCGAATTAGTATATGGCGAACCGTTAAGGCTACCTGGCGAATTTTTTGCCCACAAAGTTGACCAATGTACTACTGATATAACTGAATTTTCAGCTCGTGTCAGATCATTTGCCAACAATCTTCAGCCAAAACCAACTTCGGATCATTCGAAAAGCAAAATATTTATTTACAAAGACCTTTCATCTTGCTCTCATGTATTTCTTCGTGAGGATGCATTGAGAGGGTCTTTACAGTCAGCCTACACTGGTCCACATGAAGTGGTCGAGAGAGGTTCGAAAGTGTTCAAACTGCGCGTCAAAGGTAAAATCGTTTCAGTATCAATAGACCGATTAAAGCCAGCCTACATACTAAACGAACACCAATGTACGACTGTTCCCACGCAAAATATAGTTTCCCCTGAATCAAATAGTGCACCGAGCGTTAAAACCACTCGTTCTGGACGGCAGGTAAGATTCCCTAATTCTTATCGTCCGTAGTCTCGGCCTCTCGGGGGGAGTGATGTGGGGAACCCACTATACATACATACAACATTCCATATTTATTTATTTATATATATTCACCACTACCATAAACATTCACATAAAGAGTTCATCATCATAGATTATTGAAACACTGGCAATTACAAAAAGAATAACAATAAAAATAATATATATATTATATTGATTTATACTCTCTGATCAAATCATTTTTCGGAATTTGTTTCAGTATTAATATCTTTAAGATATTGATTATATTTAGTTATTTTGAGATTTTATATATTCAGACTAAAGAAATTGCGCAAAGTTATTTGGAAGTTTCAATTTTCGTCATCGCTACTGCCATACTATTCATTTGATATTTTTAGTTGGCAATCAGCAAAGATTGGTGCTTAAATTGGTGCAAATTAGGTTGTGGAATATGACAACTGTAACTTGATTATGACTAAAGCATGCAATATTTGTCTTATTTTAATATTAAACTATCAAACATCTTTCCACAGTTTTTTGAAGACTTTATCAAATATTTATATTTTAGAGCGTGATTAAGTTGTATTCGGATTTTAGTTTTGTACTTATTTTTTTAATCGGAACGACGAGGGGACTCTGGACCGGTATCCCAGCCACACATTTTTAACATCCGTTGTCGCACGTGATTACTAACTCCTTACATCTGTATCCAGTCCGTAGTCCTAGTGTACCTTTTAAAGTACACTCCCAGCTATGCGGGCTCTGTAAAGAGTGGGAAGCGGACTGGACGAATCAAAATAAAAATTATTTATTCAGACTAGGCTTTTACAAGCACTTGTGAAAGTCGAGAGAATCACACACCATACACAACATAGACACCAACGGGTTCACCACACTGTCACAATCAGTCACAGACACTGATACACACATCTTATGAGTTGGTCTTAATGGCGTTCTCAGGAGAGCACAACACGCTCAATCAACACGGACAATCACACTGCTGGAGCCAGGTTGGTCGCAAGTGGGCAAAAAGGGTGGAAAGGCGGCAGAGGAAACTGACCACCACTGCCCAGGCCAAGTATCCAAACGCAAGGAGAATCAGAAGGCCAGGATGCAAAGGAAAAAGCAGTGCAGGAGGGAAACCCGAATGTCTGCCTTCTAGCAACCGAAATGCCCCGACCACCGGCACGGTGAATGGAACGCAAGGGGTTGAGACCTACTACTTCCCAAGCAAGTCCAAATGATGCCCACTACCAGTCGGGACAAGGCACTGAGAACGTATTGGGGAGCGAAAGGCAACTTGTTGCTTGAGCAAATCCAAGCGTTACCGAAGTCAAGTCACGGGAGGGACTGCCCACTGCCAAAAGGGAAAGGGAAGGGAAAGGCAAAGTCCAGCGCCATGAGGGCCCTACTCGACGAGACTGTGTTTCTGAGAGCCCAAAAGGCAAAAGACAGAGTCGTCAACCGGATCCCGCTCTAACTCGATCTCCAAACATACCTACGCTTCCGCAACTGCGACCGCTACTACGTCGGAAACTCGATTCTCTGTGACGTCGAGCGAGAAATACATTTCTCGTGAGATGGCGGAGCTGGTCGAAAAGAAGATCGAGAAGAGAATCTTACAGATTGCCAATAAAACTGCGTTCCGCGAGCTTTTTAAAGTTGCCCTGGTGCTTAGTAGGAAACCACTTTAGGCTGACGGGTGTCTGAGGTACACATGTGGCAACGAACAAACCCGGGAGTGGGTACGACCACAGGTACGGAGCATACAGGACCCAAATGGAGGAAATCTTGTTGTCCTTAGGGCAAAAGAGATCCTAAACGGGTAAGATGCGGCTTCGTTCTTCCCAAACTCTGGAAGAAAAATTGCTATGCAGATGTTGCTCATTCCACGGTAAGTAACACGACGTAAGGATAAAAAAAGTAATAAATAAGATTCAACATGCGTTTAGAATAACAGTACTTAATCTTAAATTTACTAAACACTTTTTGTGAAATACTGTAATATTACTTTTTTCACTCAGATGATGTAGCAAAGATCGATTCATAGTTTTCTATAAAATGAAATGTATCTGATAGAAATACGTCTAATTTCAAAAGCAAATAGTTAAGCCATTTTGTTTGTGAATTTGTGTGTTGTCGACATGAGCAATTTCAAATATTAATAAAGATTTACTACATAAAATACAAAACAAAACACTTAGTTACTTTCTTTACTTCCCAAGTTACTTCTTATGTATGAAGCAATATTTGTTAACGAAAATTATGTCCCAACCGTCAGATATTTATTATTATTTTTTAGTTTTGACCCAGAAATGCTTGTTATTGAAAACATTTGTATATTATGAGAATCAAATACTTGAAAATGGGGCGGTAGCATGAATTTTAAGGTAACTATGGACCAAAGAGCTTTATAATATTAATTTTCTGGGATGTCCCGACCATCACCATAACGTACCATCATGATCCTAAATAGTAAAATATTTGTACCAAAGCCCAAATTGGGTGAGACCTTGGAGGACCTGAAAACCATGCCACAAGATCTCAGTACTGTGTCCCAAGGAGTGGTTCTTAAGATGAATAAGGATAAGACGAAAATCATCAATAATCAAGACGAAAGTTGCCGGTGCATGTCATCATTAACAGAATCAAAATGTGATTGTTTACAATGGGTCTCATAAGAAGACCAAAGGTCAATGGAGAGGGCAATGCTTGATATTCTGCATAATTCTGTAGGAGAACCAATGTTGCTGAAATTGCTCAAAAAATTACTCAGCTGAAGTGGCAGTGGGCGTGACACTAAAAATAATTTGAAATAATTAAGGTGCTACCAGGACCAAATATACATACTAGTGGTAATTGAATTTATTATGAAGTTAATGGAAACATTGATATTTTCAAGGCAAGATACTATTTAAACTACTTCATTATAACAGATTACATATATTTTATCTAAAAAACCATCAATAGAAATATAAAAATACATACATTTTTATTCATTTGTTACTTGTCCTGACCAACACATTCTTCTAATCAGAATTTATTGAAAACTAATTGGAAGTTTGAACCTTTCTTACAAATTCTCAAAAGTGTTTGTAAATCTGGAGTTCATTAAAAAGTGAGAGTCCTAAACATCACAATTTTTAAACCTTATTTTTTCATTATAAACATAATTTAAACATGTGAATTTCTGGTAAATTAGAGCAAACTTATTAAATTTATATCACTGTTAATATCTATTGTGTATTGTTCAATATAACTATAAAAATGTTTAAGTACATAAAAAAATAGTAAAAATCATCAGACAATCACCATGTAATGACCAATATATGACATGTGCAGAAAATCTTCACAAAATATAAACCTGCAGTGTCTTTTATTACACAAATACATTTTAATTGTCAAGAGAAAAAAAGAATCAATACACAAGGTATTTGTAATAAAAATAAACATATGAGGAAATGCCGTCAATATATCTTTTGAACAAAATTGTTGTCTATCAAATTGAAAATTGTAAATTAATACTATGAAACAATCAAATCAATCTTTTACAAAAGACACTATTTTAGAGCATTTAAAACCACATACCACAAGTTGAATAATTAGCATAGCAAAGCTAGCTTACAATAAATATAATGAACACATTATCATTACTGTATTCAAGTTTTATTATTCATTAAAGTTTCATTAATGTTCTAACAAAAAAGTTGAACTAAACAAAAGTATTAAGACTGATTGAATTGACAAATGTGTGATAATAATTTTTGAAGTCTTTTGTTTATATATATTTTTAAATTTCTAATAAGATCCTAACAATGCAGTATCATAGGTAGTATATATTTCATATAAATAATAAAATAGGCATGTTGATTTAATATGTATGAATTAGAATTGATGTTTGGATCTGATTTTAAAAGCTTAGACAAGAAATAAGCAATAATTGAACTTGATAAATTATTTTTATATATTCACTTTAATTTAGATTAGAACATGAAAATAATAAATTAATTAAGTCTATATTTACCGGTTCATTTTTTATAGCCGTAGGTAAATTCGGCGACACGGTGCCTGAATCGGCCTCTGTTTCCCCTTTTGATGACATCACATCACCAAGTCGCGGCCTTTCTGATCATCACTCTCCCGCCTACAATATCTATCAAAACAAACACGTCTTCAAACACCAAACTCCTTAAAAACTTCACTTGAAACAAGAAATATTATGGAAAATGTTAAAACTTTGAACACAACCACAAATCAATTCGATTCTTTTCAGAATGGCGAGCTGACCCATATACGAAAACATACAAATTATCGACTTGCGAAATAGTATTTAGAAACTATAACTACCGCGTTTATGAAAGGTCCACATTTGAACAATAAATATACAAGAATGAATGAAACAAAACGCTATAGAATATTAACTCACACCAGCTTGATACGTCGACAGGCTGAACAGCGGTATTTTAGGGAGAGATCGCTATGTGGCCTAATTCAATGCTAAACTTGATGCACAAAATACGTGTTGCGCGTATAACTGTAAATGCACAAAATAGTTGATCCCGCGTGCAGGTTATACTAAAAAATGTTTAAATTACTTTATCACATATTTTATAAACTTATTTTTAAATGGGTTAACAGAAATTTATGATCATTTGACCAAACCCATTTTGATAAAACCTCGCACCTGTGATGATTTTTCTGAGGTAGCTAAGTATTTTGTTCGCTAGCAACACAAGAAATCCGCATGCCAAGCAGTTTTTTTTTTAATGGTGCGTCCAGACAAGACCTTAGTGACCTTAGAAGAAGCAGACTTCGTTCAGGATGTTGCTGCATTAGTTGGATGGTACAAGGAAGAGAACAAATTCATTTGCAAAAGACAAAATAGTAAGTCTTTTCACTAAATACTTCCTCATTATCATTGTATTATAGTTTCGTGTGTGACGGGTTGTTACCTATAAAATAATTCATTAAAAAAAAACTATCTTTATTTTAATTGTAATGATAATAACGATATTATTTTTATATTTACAATAACATCTAAAATTACTTGAATGTTGAAGCGTGAAAAAAAGGAGGGTAGTATAGTTAGTTCATATAAAACTATCAATTAGTGTTAGTTAAATTAGCGTCCAGCGTGTTAATTAACACGCTTTTCTCTCTTAACGATTAACACTGCTAAATAGGTAAAAGCGAAGGCGATAAGAATTTCACGCACTAAGACTATTCCCGCGTGAAATTTCAAAACAATTCAACCATCAGATGATCTACAAATTTATTCCCAAGCTACTCCTGACCAACTAACTTTTGCCATCAATACTGTAAACCGTGACCTTGAGTTTGTCTTTGATTGGAGCAAGTGTTACGGAATAAAAGTTAATCCTTCAAAAACTCAAGTCATGGTAGCTGGCAGCCCCGTTATGACTAATAAAATTGACTGGTCATGTTTACCTGCGTTTTCATTTGGTGGAATTACTTTGACCCCCAGTGACTGTGTTAAAAATTTGGGCATAGCTATCGATAAAAACTTAACATGGCGTTCACAAATTGAGGAAGTTAGTCGTAAAACCTTTGCTGCTGCTGGTTCTTTGAGGCGGTTGCGTAACTTTTTACCAATAGCAACTAAGACGTGCGATTGCTAATGCTCGGAGCACGCTAAGTATGTAATTATTACGCGCAATGCTATCCTCTCTATTTTAACAAAGCTAACTAAGTCGATATTTTAAATACTTTAGATTAGAAAGGTGAATACGTATTATTCTGTGTATGTTTAAATAATTTTGTGTGTGTAAATAAATGATAAATGGTTGTTTAAAACAATTATATTGTGACTAAAAAATGTGTATAAAATATATGATAGCAAATGTACATAAAATCAATGAACTTTTAAATACGCCTATAATTGAATTATAGACAGTCTTAAGCCTGACAAGTATGAGGGTAAGTTTACCGATTTGCTTTTTAGTAATTACTGCTATACTTAATTGACTATAAAACTATTTAGACTAAATAATAATCAGTTATTGTTTAATATATCACTTAATCCGTTTAACATAAAACATAAAATAATTAACGTGTTATAATGTTTAGCGTGCTACAAAATTTAACGAGTCTTCACGCACCCTTACGCATCTTTGAATTAACGTGTTAATAAATTAGCGCCTTTATTAACACGTTAAAAAATATCATAAGTCTTTAGCGCGTTCATAATTTTTTGTCTTTTTGAACACCTCTGCTACCAATACAGTATAGAATAATATTAGTTACTTGTATTATAATGAAAACAACCAGTTTCTACTATTTAAGTCCACTTAATTAAGATTTGTTACAAAACCAAAAGTGCGCTATTAAGCAGAAAAATCAAAGAGTATTATATCTCTCCTCTGGCTACATTCACCAAAAACTACATGACAGATTAGGATGGGTTCCAATATCACAACATTAGTAAATCTATATAGATTTGAAACAAATATATTGTAACTGTATTGATGTGATTGAAAGCCAGGGCTTGGTCATAGTTTGCATCATCACCAGCCTATTAATGTCCTCGCTGCTAGGGCCCAGGGCCTTCCGTATGGATGGAATCGAATAAGAAGTATTGGCCATCCATCGCACGGACGAGTTCGGATTGGTGGGTGTTAGCGACCAACGACCTAACGTGCCTTCCCAATCACGGACGAGCTTAAGATAATGAATTTTGGTCATCCATCCTCGATCCTTGCGGAAGTTGCTCAACAACCGTAACACAAACTGAGCGCACTTACTAGATTAAAATAAAAGTCATAATTTGTGATGGAAAGTGACCTTACTTTTGATTTGAACGTCATTTTTCTATTTGACGTCCCTCTACGAAATATTAGAAGGAGAAAATACTTCAATTAATACGTGGTTATTTTATTTCATGACATACTAGCAAAGATCTCTTGAATGGCTCGATAAAAAACTGATTTAATCAGTACGGACGAACGCATTCATAAAGCACCAAATACGAATCTACACAAAAAATAGGTATAAATCTATTCCGCATAATAATTCCTTTTGGTGCATTTTCCGGTATTTGGCCTGCACTTGGTTGGTTTTGATCGATAGTTGATAAAAAATTACATTATTATGTAATAAAATTTTTAAAATGGTTATCTATGTTAGTCTAAAAGGCGACATTAGGATAGGGCGCACTAGTTATACTATGCCTCTCTCTTTCAAACATAAGAATTTAAGAAGTGTCAAATACGTAGTAACTCCAAAGAGTAGTATTATATTAGGGGAAAATAAAATAATCAGTGAGTAGTAGCGACATCTAGTGACATTTTGAGAAATTGTGACGAAACATTTCGGGATCAGGGCGCAAGATGACTATGCCTTCTTTAAAGAATTTTTCAATGTTCTAAGTGTCATACCCCTGAGTAACTCCTTGGTCTGTGCTGTGATTGTCATGTCAGTGAATGAAGAGAAATATATTGTTATTGCATTTGTTACCTATTTAAATGATAATAAATACATATGACTGGGGAAATTAAATATCGGATTCCTTTTCATTTTGCTGTGTAAATTATGGGTGTACAATTTTTTAAAGTTTGAAACGACTGGTGAATAAGTGTAGTTTAAGATGTGCGCTCGTTCGATTACAACATGTTTTCGACAGTGGAGACTGTGGATTAGACCTTTCTTAATTGCCCTTTATGTTATACTAATAGTGATCTTGGTACCGTTACTTATTGTGCATTCGTTAAATAATAAGTCTAATAAAAGTGTTCAAGCTGAATTAATCGGTGGAGGCTTTGTGTTGTTAGCATTGCCTATATCCATTTGGCAAATAACACAACATGTAGTACATTACACAAAACCATATTTACAAAAACACATAATTAGGTAGTAATTTTCTTAATTAGATCTGATTACTTATTATTTTGATGAAAGTGACTATATTACTTTAATACTTTTCAGAGTTTTATGGATGGTACCAATTTATGCATTAAATGCATGGATAGGTCTTATGTTTCCTGAGCAATCCATATATGTTGATTCATTAAGAGAATGTTATGAAGCCTATGTCATATATAATTTTATGAAGTACTTGCTTAATTATTTGAATGAAGATCATGACTTGGAAGCTGTTCTAGAATCCAAGCCACAGGTTTACCATATATTTCCATTATGTTGTTTGACACCATGGGAAATGGGTAGGTGAGTAATAAGCTGAACAAAATACAGTATTTTGGTGAACTCCAAAAGGGAAATTTCAATATGTATATTAACATATGAACAACATTAACAAAATTATTATTTATTTTAGAGAATTTGTTCACAATTGCAAACATGGAATTCTACAGTATACTGTGGTGAGGCCAATAACTACAGTTATATCAATGATCTGTGAATTGAATGGGGTTTATGGGGAAAGTGACTTTAGTCCAAAAGTTGCCTTTCCATACATGATAGCCATAAATAATTTTTCACAATTTGTGGCCATGTATTGCTTGGTTTTATTTTATAAAGCCAACAGAGCTGAGTTGAAGCCAATGAAACCTATTGGAAAGTTTCTGTGCATCAAAGCTGTGGTTTTCTTTTCATTTTTGTAAGTTTCATTTTTGATAATAAAAAGTTGACGTAAAATTAAACTTAAGATTTAATTCTCAAATAACCATCTTGTATTTTTTACAGTCAAGGAGTGATAATCAACATTTTAGTATATTGTGGAGTGATATCTAATATATTTAATATATCAGATCCTGGTAAAGAAAAAATCATGTCTTCAATTTTGCAGGTATCAATTGTTTATTATTGTATAATATTAGAATATAGTAATAATCCTTTTATATTTTGAACTGTGTAAGTAGTAAATTTATGTATTATACTTACACTGCTCTTGTCCTCTTCTAACATATAGTAAAATTAAGTATAACATAAATCATTGAACACAGTGTGCCTTAATTAGAAAAAATAAAATCACAAGTTAAATTAATATTGTTAATTGCTGAACTATGATCAACTGTCTTAAAATTTTTGAAAATCTTTTACTGTTTTTTGGTCAAAAATATCAGACATCAAAACTTCTACACTTATCATAATAATTGCATTTGTGGTTTTGAGCTTACTTAAGTGATAAGGCTACCTATTTTGTGCATAGGTATCCTTATCACTTAGGCAAGGTCAAAATCACAAAATTACTACAGTAAACTTGCCTTTTTTGTAGTTTATCCTTACTAAATATTAAGATTTATTTAATAATTAATATATAAGTTGGGAAAAGTCTTTTTGCATATAGTATACATAAACTTGTAATAAAACATTAATAAAACCGAACTAGTTTTGAAGAAGCTGATAACTGGTGATGTAAGTGGGTCACATATGAAAAGAATGTGCAAAGAAGGACTTATCTAAGGTTGGTCAGGCTTCACAGACTGTGTTGAAATCTGGTTAACTTGCAACAAGGTAATGTTGTATGTATTTATTAATTTAACACTTCATCAGTTGTTTACTCCAAGAACAACTGATGAGATAAAAGTAAGAAGTTAAGAGAAAGCTGCCAGAATTAACCAATAGAAGGGGTGTGGTTTTAATCCATGATAAGCCTAGATCTTGCACATCTTTTGCCAGTTATTAAGTCATCCGCCGTATAGTCCTGACCTTGTACCTTCAGATTTCCACCTGTTTCGGTCTCTTCAGAATTTTTTAGGCAGTATCAGGTTAACATCATAGTGACTGTCCAAACCACCTGTCGTGGTTTTTTGATCAGAAGCCCTAAAATTTCAATAGCAATGGGGTCATGTCCATCGATAACTTTAGTTAAATGTATATAAACATTTTTAAAAAGTTTTGCATTTTCATATAAAATGTGAAAAAACTTTTCCCCAACGTATTTGTAACAATTTTGTGAATGCTGCATAATAAAAATCACTAAGACTATTTTAGTAGTTTCTAATGAAATGTTTTGTTCTTTAAAGGATTTCTTAATATGCATAGAGATGTTTCTGGCAGCTATTGCTCATCACTACAGTTTTTCATATAAACAATTTGTATCACGGGAAAGCCCTTCCTCATCATGTTTTGGCTCCTTCCTTGCAATGTGGGATGTGTCAGATGTTAAAAGGGATATTTCAGAACATCTTGGTGTTGTTGGTAATATACAGTTTTTTATTTATTTTAAGAAATAAAATTGTTAAAGAATAATTATGCAAATCATTTTTAACAGTTGACATTATAAAAAAACTGACAGGTCATTTGGGTTTTGCTCTGACCACTTTTAGCTTCATTTTTTGGGTTTGGCTTTGACTACCTTTAGCTTCATTTCTTGAGGTTGACTCTGACTACTTTTAGCTTCTAACTTTTGTTAGTTACACTAACACTATTAGTTAGTTTTGGCTAAGAACTTAGTATTTATATCTGTGAGTATAGCAGTAATGTATATTGGAATGAATTCTTTGTATGAAATAAGGACAAATTGTCCACTCTATATTTTTTTTTAATCTGAGATAAAACAGTTATAAACCGTCTATCACAGTACATAACATGCATAGTTATAGTGGTGCTGTATTAACGTTAAAAAGCAGTGTTTTAAGAATTTAATGATTCTCTTATTACCTAAAACATCTACATCATCAGCAGTGCTATTCTGTTAAAAAACAAAATTCGATATCGATCGCAGTGCTGTCATAGCATAAAGGTTCCTACTTATCCTATAGCAAATGGTAATAAAGGCTTTATTTGATTGAAGTTCTATCGCAGCACAGTGCTCGACGACGAGTTCTTGGCTGTTTTTGAACAGATTAACAACACTACACAGAATACATAAGTAACATAACACGACAGAATAGCATTTAGGCCGCAAACTGGACGCCTGCGGGCGCGACGGTGGTGGCGACTATGGTGTAACGTGTGACTCGATTAACTTGATAGTTCGTATCATTTCTAAAGCATAGCAGCATGGTGCCATAGATCCACTTTATTTTGGTGCCTTCATGCTAAATTAACTACCAATATAAAAACCAAGAGATTGGTCTTATAGTATTGACAAATTTACGTTTTATAAATTGTAATCCCATCAGCAGTGCTATTCTGAGTGTTAAACTCGACGTCGAACACAGCGTTGTCACGGCAATGAGATTCAATCAAATAAGAATTTGTTCATTTAATAAAAGTTTTCTTCAATTAAATCCTTTGCTATCTACACTCTACACATACACATACAAAGGTACACTCGACGTCGAGTTCCAGGCTGTTTATAATAGAGTAGACAAATTATTATTTAGGTTCCGTACATTCAATATCTCATTTTACTTGTTATAAATATTGTTTTACTTTTTTTATAGGAAGCTCTTTTAGCAGGAGACTGAGGGGTAAATATATGTATCACATGCCGCGAGGATATGATGAAAGTTCACGGCTGGTGACCGAGCCTGTTCCTTCCAGCTCCACACCGAATGCGACTGAGGAGGCCGACGCTTCGCCTGTCGAAATAAGACCGACTACCTATGGTTCTATTGAAACAACAGTTTCAAATTCTGATACTGAACCTTTAATGGGTGACAGACACGATAGTATAGAAATTGACCCTAAAGTATGAACGAAGATTAGCTGTTATTGGAATAAATATCTTTAGTATGTTGCAGCCAACTGGTTAAAAAACCATATTGCACGGCTAGTCTTTTTGATTGAATGGCGTCAAGCTGAACGTAAATTAGCAAAGTGGCTGAAGGCAATGTTCAACGATTGTCTGCACTGTGCAGAGTGCAGGTATTACAGGTTCGTTCGTTCCGAGTGTTTCGGTCACAAAAAAGACCTGAGTATAATCTTTTAATTTTTTTTTATCCTTTTGTATAATTCATAGGGAATTAAAGGAGAAAGTTATATGAAATTATAATAATTGTTAATCCTGACTTGAAAATTTAAATTCTTTTTATGAACCTATAGATTTAGGAAAAATAAATATACATATAGTTTATATTTACTTTCATGTTTATGAGTGAGTTAACAAAATGATAACAGCCCATTTTTTTTCTAAATAATGCTTCATCTATAGTATAAAACAAAGTAGCTTTCCGTCTGTCTGTCCCTATGTATGCTTAGACCGTTAAAATTACGTAACGGATTATAATACGGTTCTTTTAATAGATAGGGTGATTCAGAAGGAAAGTGTATAAATACAGGGCTACGCGGGCGACGTTGCTGGCGGAAAGCTAGTAATAAATATTATAATCTCTGATGTTTTTCGTATTCGAATCGCGAAGATAAAAATCATAATAGCTCAAAACACATCAGCAGTTGACACAATCTTTTAAACGAGATCCAATTAACAGTTCAAACAGTCTTTATGTTGAATTTACAAATGTATGATTTAATTTTAATGTAGTTAAATGTCGTCGTTCAATCAAAGAGCTAACGGGTTTTTTGAATGGTAGACTGTGATACATAATTTGAACAGAGCTTCCGAAAGATTTTATAAGAAGTCATGTTTAGCAAGTGTACCAATAAACTTTGCACTAACTAATCTCTGAAACTAAACGACCCATACAGCGACTTTTGTCAAGCTGTCGCCGAACCAAATCCATTCCCTTAATTGACTTTAACAACTTGCTTGAAATTCAAGTGACTAACGCACTTGGCTTTTTGCTTCAGCATGGAAATTAATATAATTACATCACAATTACGAAATTCGCCTTCAATTTAAGGTTGTTTGCATTAATTTATATATACTTTTATTTCGAAAGAAGCTACATTTTTAACCTTATTTTGAATGAATTTTTATAATATCTACATTCCTTCAAGCTTATAAAAATAGTACCTAATATCTCTATTTCGAACCACAGCGACGAGCGCACTATTTGAATGTATATGTCATGTACTATACTAAAGCATTGTATAAAAAAAAAGTGTTGTCTTCTTTACTCGACCCGTTAGTCACATTGGAACGACATGAAGAGAGCTGTGTAATTAAACAATGGTTATAAGCTTTTTATTAGTCAGGCTATATTATTTTAACTCTCATTTAGAGTAACTAATTGCTGCTTCACCAATAACTACAATTAAAGTAAATTGCTTACAGCCGATTTTAAAAACATGCTTTACGATAAAATCTCGAGTTATTCTTCTGTTTGTTATATATTTTTTGATGAACTGGCTGTAAGTAGGTACTTTAGGTGTTAACATTTTATCAACATTTATTTTATAGGTAGGTATTGTTAAGACATAACGTATGTACCTTTATTATGATAACTGATAGTTCATATGAATTGTGATATTAATTTACAACATTCAAATGATAATATAAAATATTGTTGAATTTATAAAATAAAATATTTCTTTACAATGTTTTGACTTTTACTTTAATTTTTGTTCGTTTAAGTTTAGTTCATATTTTATCAAATATGCATCAACGAATCCGATCTATTTCCTCTTGTTTTTAGAAAAGTCCATGCACACTAAAAAAATTTTTTCATAAGCCTCCCATACACAATATATCCAATACGGGTGTAGACAGTAGAAAAAAATTACATATTATTTTTTCTGGTAGTGTTAAATATATGTACTATTACCGATACACTTTTATGTTTATTAGATAAAATTTATAATAGGTTTTGCTAAAATTGATTTTGAGAGTGCAATTATTTTAAACTCATTGTCACATACCGCAAACAGCTCAACGTCATGCCCCTCTGACGTTGACGTCACTTATATCAGATCTGAGAATTAAACCTTATGCATACATATCATAGAACGATATTATTTTTAGAATGGCGTGATGTCATAGCGACGCCATTAAATTTAATCTTTTTATATGAATGATATTTTATATATATATATATATTATCTCAAGGAAGAATTGATTAATTACCGTACATATTTAATTATAACTATCGTTCAGTCTCTTAAATCACGTGTCTCTCTCACTACGGGATGTTGGCAAAATTTCCGTGTATAACGGAACAAGTCCATACTGAAAAAAAAAAAAAAATCTAATGTGTAAAAATATTTGAAAGTCGCTACACCCCTATTCCTGTAGTTGATTTTCCTCTACATACAAAGTTTTAAGGTTTAACATTAAGTGGAGAATGGTATATTTTTAGTAACTACATTTGTTCACAAAATGAATTAATATACTTCAGGATATATAAAAGCATAGACATATATTGTAGTAGGAAAATCAGCTTAACCAGCAGCACGCATCTACAACGGATAGTTTATTCATTAAAAATTCATGTGTATTCAATATATTTATTAGACTTTTATGTAATAAAAATACATTTCATTTTTTATATGTTCCTACAGTATAATCTGTAAACTAACTTTCAGACTTATCATGGCTCCTCCTGACTTAACTTATTGTATATAAGAAAACATAATATTAAACATCTCTATAGGAATGTATAAATCTCTGAATTTTTTTATTATATAATTTATTGAATCAAGTCGGCTGTCTACTGAAGAAGAGATATACGACTATCGGGTTTGCTATTCTGTAATAAAATCAGTATCCAACTTGACGTCAAACACAAAGCACAGCTTATAATATTATTTTAGCAGTACATTGTTACTGGTAGGTATATAAATATTTTCCATATCTACATGAAAACGATAATACTGTTTTCTTAGGATCAAATCAACTCCAAGCTGATATGTTAACTTATTCAATGTCTTTGCATTCTTCTAATGTAGTATTGATATTTGTCACTTCAGTATTTCTTCTATTGAAATTTTGTAATGCATTGAGACCAGCTTTAAGACTGTTCATTTCAATTTTATTCCACAGTGTTCCCATTAATATGTAATAGAAGCAAAAGCCAGTAATTACTATTTTTACAATATCATATATTATTTTATTAGGCCAGAATCCAACTGTACCCAAAAGAAACATAAATAGTAGGCCACCAGAAGTAAGGAACAGTTTTTTAGATTTCATTATTATGTCTATAGCTTCCTCGCAGACTTTTATTGCTTGTACTGCTGTCACTTCGAAGCAGCTATCCATTTTTAATTGTTTTTGGTCATTCTTACTTTTCACAGCAGATAATTTTAATTCCAGTGTAACTGCATTGTGATCAGAATACGAAAATGATTCACCAGGAACTCTGTCTTCTAAAGGATTTCCAAAGTTGACCACTTCAGCCTGTAAATATTAAAATCATTAAGAATCTTTTCTAATGCTCTTCTTGCCTTGATGACTGGAAATATTCAACATTCCAAAACATAAAACAAAGCAAGCTAGACACTAAAAAATTACTCTTATCTATTGTTATTCTTATATGTCACTGATAATTTCCAGTATTCTATACAACACCTTCAACTTAAACAACTGCAAAACTATTTATTTTAAAATAAGAAATATAGATATTTGAGATTTTCACAACATGTCAGACATATTTTCATAAAATATGTCAGACACAATATATTTTGTAAACTTACTTTAAAAAATTTATTTCTAAAGAGGCAGCTATTGTATTTACATACAATAAATATATCATGATATTGACTTTGATGACAACTAACTTAAATACATACATCAAATGTTTTATTTGGAAAAATATTTTAATTTAAAAAGGGTGCGCATGCATGACTGAGAAAAATTAAGAATTGTTGTCTTGCATTATCCATAAATAAATAATCTAGTCTTAATGCTTCTGGACATAAAGTTGAAAATCATCTTAGATGGTTCAGTTACTAGGCTAATTGTTTAGCCTTATAGTTGAATTTCGCCGTTTGACCAAAGGGTTAGCCAGAATTTTAAATGGGTATTTTATCAATTGTGATTGGCGGTATACGTGTTACTCCGTAAAATACCGCCAAACGTAGCATATACTGAAATCATCAGAATATGTTTTATCTATTGCTTGTTTCATTGGGACTTGGGATCCAGTTGCTAGTAATGCTTACCTCCCATGAAGGATTAACATGGTATAATATATGGTCTATTCTTTTTCCCTCTGGACTAGACTCAGCCAGCTTTTTATCAGTGTAGCTATTGTTTGCAGTTTCACTAGTGCCAGATGGTTTCTTTATATTCATGTTTGTGCCTTCGAACGGTATATCATATGGGTCTATTAATGAAGGTAATTGTGTAATAATCCTGTAAGAAAATTGGATTTATGAAAATTCAAAGTCAATTATAAGGCAAACATTATGGGTACAATAATGATTATAAGAATGCTGTGCATAGATTGGAATGCTATCTCCAGTAATAAAAAGTTTAAGATGGCTGATGGTGAACCATTCATTTCTTATACACCATGGTGCAGGTGTTTTGTATACAAAATGCTCTAATTGTTTTTTTTTTTAGAGAAGTCAAACTAATTACCAGTGATAAGTAATTGTGTCACCTACTGGGAGTGATAAAGGGAATGAAAATTTTAAAAAAGCTTTGAATCAAAATTGCATGTGTTATAAAAATCATTTGGATTAGCTTAGTATAGAATGTTGCATTTTATTACACAGCTGATCCATGTTTTGCTGTCCAATCAAAAGGTGCCATTCAGATAATGAGTTTACCATTCATTTGAACATATAACAGATGTTCAGTTGGCTATGACATACGCAACACAATATACTAGCCTCATTTTTATTCAGATCATGGACAGTCTGATAATCAGTATATTAAACAAGGAAGCTGATTGCACTGAAGCATGCATCTCTGTGTGCATAAATTTGGGTGCATTTGTTCCTAGTTATCTATATTTCAATTGGAAGTGTAATAACTTCCGATTGAAGTCATGTAAAAATGTCATTATGTTAATTGATTTTAATTACCTGTAAGAGAGATCACCTGGACCAGTATTAAGATCACCAGCAAGAATGGATACATCAGCAGGATATTTGGTCAAATTTACTAATTCAGCTGTAGAGTAAGCTTGCAAAACTCGATGTGCCAAGTAAATGTCATCTTCATGATATTCAGCATGTAACTACAAAAATATTAAGGCATATTTAATTGAAAAGGTATGAATATAATATGTAGCTTATATGATGTATTTGTCAAATATAATAATTATTAATAGTGGAAACAAATCTACAACACTCACAACTGCCTATGTGAATTTGGTTTTGGTTTGGTTTTAATTGTAAATCTTATAATTGCTAAAGAATATAGCATAAAAACATGTGTGAACAATTATATGAAATTAAACACTTAATAAAATTTAAGTTGAGAACTTCTAAACTTATGGAACACAATAAAGTATTAACTATTTTTTATTTTTAGAACAATATACAGTAATATTATAAGTTACCTAGAAGCTTGTTATTAAACTGATCTGATTTCAATCAGTTTGTACTAACTGCAACTATGTCTAAGAATATGTTTGTATTGTGATATTGTGAGTAACAAGAAATGCCCTTTAACCTTTTTAATGAAAATGAAATAGTCTAATTTAGTAAATAACTACTTACATGAGTACAGTAAACATTAATCAATCTTTCTCCACACTTTATGCGACAAAGACCAACTCCTTTGCCACCAAACCAGTCCCCATGGTGAATTTTATGAATGTATCCATTTAAAGACCACTGATGGAAAAATACATCTTGGATGATCCATTTTGAAAATATACACAATCCAGAGCCAAGAACACCACTAAAATAACAATTGAGATTGTGATTAATATCAAGGGTCACTTATCAGTAGTGAATAAAGAACAATGGTCAAAATGGACTACGAAAAAAAAAATTCTTGTACCAAGATGAAACTATCATCAAAATGTAGTATAAGTTGAATGTAATTATTGTATACCAACAATTTATTTTTAAAAGCTGGGAAAAGAAAGATAATCCTCTCTAAAATATGTCTTTATTTTTTAGAACACAGTTTAAATTATGTTATTTATGAACGCATCTTATTAATAATGTCATTCCTAGAGAAGTCCCTCTCTTTTCAAAGAACAAGATCGATTTTGTTTCTCACGAATCTGATACAAATCTTATATTATTTACTAATCATATAAATCCGTGAAAATTATAAAACTTAGATTAGATTACTAATATAATTAGATGTTACTTAGACGAATATAGTTTATTTATAATGAAATTAAAAACTAATGATTATTCATAAGAATCGATATTACAGTATTCAATTGATTGCGACCTCCCTTTTTTAGACAAGTATGTGTAGAAGTGTTTCTTTCTACGCAGACCGTTTTGTAACTTGAGCGGCGATTTTGTATTATCTTCTGTATTATGGGGAGCATACTAGGTTCCATGGGCAGTATAGAATCGAGGTCTGGAGAGAAATACTGGATTCTCTGGATTTATCAGAATTAGACTTAAATATAAATAAAGTCCAAATTACAAGAGGTAGAATTAAGTCGATACATTGGGAGGATACAATATTAAGTGTACATTTTAAAAAATAATGACAGATCTGTAATTGTGTTATTGGTTGATGTACACTGGGATGCTGTGCTCATATAATGACTATAGTTTGGTATCGGATGGGCCAGACACGAACAGAATGTAGCTGCTCATAGTGCTCATATTCATTAGAGTTGTAATAAAGAAAAGAAAAATCAACATGTTGTTTTGCTATATCCTTTTGAAATTAGTATTTTCACTACTACTTTATATAAGTTATAGTGTAAGATAGAAAAGTAGAGTTATTGAGAGCAATCTTAAAAATTATATTTCTTTTTTGATGTTCATTGGTTCACAAAAAATGATTTTATTTCTTACAGTCAATAAAAATGATATATCAGATATGGAACAAGTTTGAAGTATTATGTAAAAGTATGCACTTCTAGGGTCACGATTAGTCATTATCTGACGTGTGCTTTACATATTTCAACTGTAATACCTCTAACTCAAAATGCTACAGTTTAAATAATACGACATAACCTCAAAACATATTACACAATTACTCGATACTCCCAGCTTTTAAAAATATATTTAATGTCTTTCTTTGTTCTAGTTGCATAGGCAAACAAAATAACATATGTTTCATTAAGTTACGTTTTATTCGATTTTACTAGTCCAAGCATGTTAGGTAGATGGCCATTGTTCTTTGGTGTATTAAAATTAAAAAAGAAAAGAAAAAGTTACCTGTAAAAGTAATAAGAATATGGCAGATTATTTCTTAGGTGTTCCTTTAAATACAAATAGTCATTTTCACTCCAAATTTCTTGTAAGCAGACAATTGTATGTTGACTACTATTTAAATATTTAGTCAATGCAATTATTCTTTCTTTGCGATTTTTTGAAATAATAGGAATGCCCCTGTAACAATAGTATATTTACAATAAAAATAAACTATTATATAATTTATAAAATTAATTTATTGTAAGCATATTTTATAATAGAATTTTGATAAACAGTTTAGGGCCACTCAAGGAACTCAAATTTGTGAAATACAAATAAAGATATAGTTAAAACAGTATTGAGAAAGGTTTGAAACGCAAAGTTTGTATAAATTTTGTCTCAAAGAAACTTAACTTTAGTACTCACCAGCAATTAAGAGTGAAAATGTTTAATTTGAATTCCATTTTAGATAAGATGTATTTGAATGAGTCGTGATAAAATCAATCCTAAAGAGTCCTTTTAACTATTAGTTCTTAGTTATATTGATTCAGTTTTCTCTATTGAAAATATTAACTTCAAAGATTTTTAAGTAGGTATATGGTAGAAATCTGAAAATGTATTTGTTCCTCGACTTCTAGGTGCTAAATTTGTTGCTCATATAAACAAAGATATCCTTTCAAAACTATTATTCCTCAACGCTCCTAAATGTGCAGAAATTGAGAAATAATAGTACGAAGTGAAATTTATAAAAAGTTTGACAGTTGACATTAACAATGAGAAAGTGTTAAAAAAATATATATTAGTACCCGAAATCAAACCAGATGGCGCTACGGTACGTTCTTGAAATCTCCATGACAAACCCTTTCGGTTTTCTTTTATGTTTAAAAGAAAAATAGTTTTCAAAACCCAATAAACAACTCATTTCTTTGTACTTTTTCGTATTTGTATTGATATCTAAGTATCGAACTTTTCAAATTTCAGTTTTTTAATATGTTAGATAAAAAGAACGGAAATGACTGTCTTTGGTCCATCTGTTTCCTGCAAAAATCAACTTTTGATAGAGTCGCCATCTAGTGGAGGTGCTTTTTTAATGCTTTCGTTTTTTTAAATATTTCCTCATTTATTGAGCAAGGAAAATAAACTATCTATACTGAAATGAGGAAGTATTAAAAAAAAGACCGACACAATATAATAAAAAAAATAAAGTAAAAAGCTTAAAAACAAATTAAAAAAAACATATCTTAATTGTCCACAAATAATGCAAAAAAATTATATACGTGAAACCCTTTAAAAAGAAAATAATAACTTTGACATTATGAATTTATGACCCTACATAATTACAGACAACAGCATGTCAGACTATTTCACTTTGAACTTTGCGCTAATATTGAACTGCAAGTACCTTGACCTGCTGGTGACCGTACACATGAAATTTTTTTCTTAAATGTTGTCGCGTCGGGGGACCGCTCTTCACGATTTCAATAGGTAATCTATACTAATATTATAAAGCTGAAGAGTTTGTTTGTTTGTTTCCTTGCTTGAACGCGCTAATCTCAGTAACTACTAGTCCGATTTGAAAAATTATTTCAACGTTAGATTGTGGTGGTCTGTACCTATTATATAATTTGGCACTTTTATGATGGTGGCCATGTTGGATTTGTAATTTGTCATAGTGTACCTATAGTATTCTATTAGATATCCGTATTGAGGGAATCATGACAAAATATGTAGGTAATCCAACATTTTGTGGTGGCGGCCATCTTGTATATAAAATTTTGTCATAGTATACAGTATTCTACTACCCAAGCCCTTTTATTTGATATCCGTATTGAGGGAGTCGTAACAAAATATGTAGATAATCCTACATTTTTGATGGCGGCCATCTTGGATTTGAAATTTGTCATAGTGTTCAGTATTCTACTACTCAAGCCCTCTTATTTGATACTCATATTGATGGAATCGTGACAAAATATGTAAACCGACATTTTGTGGCGGCGGCCATCTCGAATCGATTTTTATCACACATGGTGAAGAACACTCCCGACTGATACACCTTCCAAACAAAAAAAAACAAAATCAAAATCGGTTACTCCGTTTGGGAGCTATGATGCCACAGACAGACAGATAGACACACACACAGACACACAGACACGTAAAACTTATAACACCCCGTCGTTTTTGCGTCGGAGGTTAAAAAATAAGTAACTACAATTTATATAATTTGATGGCACCACAAATAAGGTATTTGACGCATTACTGAAAATTATTTTAAATGGTTCTTTGATACATAAACACACTGTCAATATATTTCATAAGAATTAGTTCTATTTTTGATGAAAATTATTGTTGAAGTTTAAATAGTCAAAACCGCGCAAAAAACGCTACTCTATGTAATGGCGCTGATCACGTAGTATTTGTGACTTTTTCTTCTTTAAGTTATTTTACTAAAACTGAATATATGTTATCTGCAGATTCTAAAAAATAAACTTTATCAGATTATTATCTAATAGGATGACCACAAAACGTTACTTATTTTTAATATTGTCAAATACCCTATTGTAGGATCTATATAAATGACAATGAGGATGTATTAAAAAAAGAAAGTACTAAAAAGCACCACCACTAGATGGCGATTCTAGCAAAAGTTAATTTTTGCAGGAAACGAATGGACTAAAAATAGTCATTAATTTGCAAAGTTCAAAACTTAGATATCAATACAAATACGAAAAAGTACAAATAGAATATGTGTTGTTTATTGAGTTTTGAAAACTAATTTTCTTTAATACATGAAAAAAACCGTAAGATTTGTCATGGAGAAATCAAGAAAGTGCATCGACATCTATTTTGATTTCGGGAACTAATGTTTTTTTTAAATACTTCCTCATTCATGACGTTAAACCAAATTGAAAACATGGAGCATGGCGCCTTATTGAAGCAATTCTGTATGAAAAAAATCCTGAAGAGGTAGAGTTGTACAAGAGTACAATTCTACCTCTTCAGGATTTGTTGATTTGGATGGCGTATTGATTGGAACCAAAGAAATTACAAATAATAAGAGGGAGTGTTGCTGGGGTGTTGGGCTAGAGTACCTCCTCGTGTGCCAAAGATTCCGCAGTTGATCTACCGCCTGCAGGTATTAGGGATCTGCTACGGTTATAGGCCGATGCTACCCCGAGTATAAGGAAGAATGGATTCGGTGAATATTGATCCATTGGTCCCTATGTCTAAAATTCCAGCGGAGGGGGCTTGGCTGTTGGAATCAAATTTTTATGTTCCGATGATAATAGCTGAGCGGTTAGTCGTCGTCTTGTAGTTTTATGTTCTGAGAATGAAGACTCAGCAGTGGGAGTCGTCTCGGAGTTTTGTGTGCCGAGGATGACTTATTAGTGCCGATGCCAGAGGGGCTTGATGAGGATCGTACCTGGCCGTGAGGCCGTGACTGAGAACGCTCAGTGAGGGTCGGTGAAACCGGTGAGGAGGTCTGCCAACGTCAAATGCGTCAAAAAAAGGGAGTGTTTTGCTAATACCTTTCTCAATAGCTGGGCAATTAAAGATTTAAGTAACGCCATCACCTTCTTCCGTCTACTTGTTCGGCGGTATTCATTCAGAACCTTTCTCCAATTGCTTTTTACACTCGCAAAATACCCATAGTCCAAGGGTTGGAACGAGTTCGTTGAGTTTGGTATTAGGCAAATAAATAGAATGTTGTGTCGTTCACAAAGGCGCAAAGCTCTCGGCGAAATATGGGCAATGAGGTTATCGCAACATAACATTATTTCCCCTCAAGCTTGGGAGACGTGTGGGATAAAATGAGTTTCAAGCCATTCTTCGAAAATTTCACTGGTTATCCAGCCTGAATTTGAAACTGCCATTCTAGAACCCTCTGGTGCACGCAAGAGCCAGTCAGACCAAAGTTTTTTTTTGCCCTTTAAAACAAATAATGAAGACAAAGATTCTCCAATCGCACTGACACAAAAAACAACTGTAAAGCAAAACTGTCGAATTTTCGATAATTTCTGGGTGACGATCTCTCCGAAACAAAAGTTTTTTTCCCGGGGTCATCATAAAACCCAGACTCATCCATGTTGAAAATATTTTCAGGGGGTATTCCTTCTACTTCTTTTGACATTTGCTGACTATTCACCTGAGCCCTCTTTTGTGGAATGTTGTGGGCAATCTTTATTTTTCATGATAATTCCATTTATTCGAAAAAATATCTAGGAAACAAATCAAATTATGCAAAATTCCATTAGTTGAAACTATCCGTGCCAAATAAACGTGCAATAAAGGTCATTCAACCCACTTGTACCACGAAGTCAACAAATCAAGCGATACCGATCGCTTCTCATACAAAACTGTCGCTAAATGGGTGTTCGGCCCGGTTTCATAATACATACATAGTACCATCCTATCATTTAAAACGAGTAACTTAAAAATTAAACAAAATCGAGCATGAATAATTGCATATTTTTTTTTTATCCTTTTTTTTTATCACTAAGACAATTAAACTCAAAAGTTTTATTGCTTGTATACGAAAAATATGTTTTCGGCTTAATTTTTTTTTCCCCATTTTCGTGTTTTTATCATTTTATTTTTTTATAAAACCATATGGTAAGTCATTAAATAAATGGATTTAATAAATATACTAATTCAGTGTACTAAATTGTGTCATAATAAAACATTTTAATTTTACTTTATTTTCGAACTCAGTTATAAGGTATTTTAAGTTACGACGTTGCGTCGTTGCCTTAGAATGACGTCACAGTGGAGTCAGAGGTGCGTCACCTGTGGCCGCCGCCATTTTAAATATGCAGATGCATTATTTGTTTGTAGTCCGATTCGGTCTTGCATTTGCACGCCACGTGTATCTTTTGCTTTCATCGTTATTTTTGTTAAATCTTTATTTTTATTATTAGTTTGTAGATTGTTAACCGTTGTTTTGTTTTGTTAATTTTATAAATGAGTGAAGAAGTGAGAATGAGTGAGGCAAGGAAAAAGCAACCAAGGCGTCGAAAGAGAATCTTGGAACCTCAAGCAGGTTAGTATATTATTATTCAAATTTATATAATAGTCTTAAAATACATATTTATCTTAGCAATGTTCTTGGATAAATTCCTTACGATTATAGAATTTGTATATTATGCACAAGTCGTCGTTGCTTGAATCCTCAAACAAAATATTTCTAGGTAACCAGAATTACCAGAATCGATATAGATAAAAAGTTGTGTACATATTATTAAAGGCGACCTAAATGTTCTTATCTAATATTGTAAGCCAAATTTTCGAAGTAGAAGCCTTTCTTAACAAATTTGCCCTTTCTTCTCCCTACGGCTGACCATTCCAATACGTGGTAGGTTTAATAATTATATTTTCGTTTCAGGTCCATCTTCGTCAATACCCCTTAATTCTCCGATAAAAAGAGAAAGCCAACAACTTTGTCAATAGGCGAAAAACAATTGATCAC